CAACCCTCAGTGTCGCGCCCGTACTGGACCGGGACCGGCAACGGGATCACAACCCTTGGTGCTACACCCGCACCTCGCTCAACCAGTGAGCGGGAACCAGTCTGTATGTGGGATCCGAACCCTCGGCGGGAGCGCCGCCACACTCCCAAGCAGCGCACTGTAGCAGTGCGCCACCGGGCCGGCCCGGAGCATTTCTAATTATTCCACAAATATGTGTTTAGCCTGGAGCTGGGTACTGAGAATACAAAGATGGGAAAGTCATAGTCCCTTCCCTTGATGATAAAGGATATGGAAACCAGTTTATCTGAAGAATGGTGGAAGGAATTGGGAATGTTTAACCTGAGAAAGAAAAATCTTGGTGGTGGGGGGGTGTGTGGGGATATGACATAAGGGACAGTCTCTAAATATTTGTAAGATCACCAGAAGGAAAGATTAGACTGACTTTAGGAGTTCCAGAGGGTAAAAGAGTAGAATTCTGACTTTTACAGAAATGGAGACTTAAGCTCTTAAAGGAAGAAATTTGCAAAACTTAGAGCCGTCCATAAATGGAATTGTAGATTTGAGAAATAATGAGTTCACCATCACAGGAAGTGTTCAAGCAAAGGCTACCATGTGATCACCAGTCAGGATGTGCTCAAGGGATTGTCACTGGGTAGGAGTTTCAGCAACTGAACTCTAAAGTCCCTTAAAATTCTAAGACCCAGCTGGCCTGTTAGTTCAGTTGGTTGGAGTGCAGCCTTGTAACACCACGGTCAGGGGTTCAGTTCCTCTGTACCAGTCAGCCACCAAAAAAATAAAGTAAATCAGGGGTGGGAGAAAATAAGAACTCTCATGCACTCATTTATAAAAATAAATAAATAAAAGTTCTAAGACCTTAAGATGCTTTCTGAAATGAGAAGTGTGAGGTTTCTGCTTTCTATGGATGGATGAAAGTAAGGTGTGGAATGTGGCTGAGTGGTATAGCCGTGGGAGGAAAGGAGGGGCACCAGGAGAAACTGGCAAAAAAGGGTGAGTCGTTTTTAGAAAGAATTCCCTGTGCAAACCAGAGATTTTGTAAACCAGGATTGAAACAATTCAGAGTGGGCAGTTTCAGACATGTGGGTGTATGTTATTGCATAAGTTGTAAATTGACGAACTCTGGATACCTCACATACAAACCCAGGTTTCCCATTTCTCTTGAAGTGAACTGGCAGCCCTGGGCCAATCCCTCCCCCCAGGTCTGCAATGGGAGGAGCTGCGCAGCAGCGCCCCCTGTAGGTGGCGTCTGAGCTCTCTGCGGTGCTGAATCCCCATCTCTCCTGGTTGCTCAGTCCTGGCCCACTCCCCCATCTACATGCCCCACTTGGAACCTGAAGGCGTTTGGGTTTGCAGCCACTGTTCTGGAATTTCACATGGGCTCTTTAGAGATGAAAACCACATCCTTCATCTCGGGATCCCCAGTAATGTTTGTTAAGGGAGCCTCAGGTCAAAGGGACAATTCGGGATAACGGTGAAGATGCTGGATCCTTTTACCTGAATCTGAACTACTGGAGAAACTCTCCCTATAACTTTGTGCTTCTAACACCCCACGAGGCTGGCACCCCACAAAACCAAGTCATCAGAAGTTGGCTGCAGTCCCTTTCACTGTAATAAATCCACGTGTGACAATTTGCACTGGCAGTGCCCTCAGAGCTATTGTAACAGTGGGTTTCCCCAACCATTGTCTAACTATTGCATAACTGGCCTGTTGGTAACATTTATAATCTGATTTACTTTTCTTTTGGGGCGCCCAGCTATGCTGATTAAGTTCCTTTATTGGCAGATATGAAAACGAGCAGCCATTTCGAAAGGCAGCAGAAGAGGAAATTAGCTCTCTCTATAAAGTCATTGATGAAGCTACTTTGACAAAAACGGACCTGGAGAGTCAAATAGAAAGTCTGAAAGAAGAACTTGGCATTCTGTCAAGGAACTACGAAGAGGTAGGTGGGGGCTGGGGCTGCTGGTTTGGCCACAAGACCAGAGGCGCTCAGCTGTCTGGCTGTGCAAGGGCAGCACGTCCCTGCCTCTTGACATGGCTTGCCTGGGGCTGCAGAGAAGAAGCAGCTAAAAAACTTTCACATCCTTGTAGTGGGTCTCAAACTCAAATGGCTCTGGGGACCAGGCTGGTACATAAGTGGGGAAAGGCAGCAGGTCTAAGCACTAGCGAGTGACAAGTGACAGAACCTGCATTGAATTGGAAGGGAGCACCCCTCTCCTCGAAACGTTCAATCTCAGATACTTTTTTCAATACTGTATAGGACGAATAAAATAACTCTGAGGGTAGATCCAGGCTGCGGTTTACACACGCTCAATGAAATTAGATGAGATTACTGAGTGGCAGGCCCGAAGGGGACTTCTAACGGTTATATGGTCCAGTTCCCTGCAGGATGCACTGATTCTAAACCACCTCACACTATCACCATCTGATCCCAGATCCAACGTGCTTGCAACTGAAAGAGTTACAACCCACTTAACCATGCGCACATCAGGAGTTTGTCCTCGTGTCCAACCTTATGCTGACCAGCAACCATATCCCCACTTCTTCCTGCTCTTAGCTCAGTCCTTTAAGACCACTCTCCCTCAGTAAGCCTTTAGAGACTCCCACGTTAGCTTTAAATTTTTTTCAGCCTAGTCTGACTTTACGCTTGAATTCATTTTGCTGTTGCTTACTTCGTTATTTGTTTTTATTTAGTTATTTATTCTGATATTTGCTTTGGGCCTGGGCTTGTGGAAACCAACCTAAAGAAATGCACCTTGAGAAAAGAAAATACAGTGCCCACACCGGGAAGAGGACTGGGGACTTCATCAGTCTCTGTGAATCCCCATGTTTAGCAGTAGCTGGATGAGCAGCAAAAGTGTCGCCCACAGAGCCGGGCTTCTGCTGGCTAGAATCCTCTGTCATTTTTTTCTCCCCCAAAACTGCCCTAAGGTGTATATTGTCATTTTCAGGATGTGAAGGTGCTGTACAGACAGTTGTCGGGGTCTGAGCTGGAACAAATGGATGTTCCCATTGGCGCTGGTCTGGACGACATTCTTGAGACCATCAGAATTCAGTGGGAGAAAGATGTCGAAAAGAACCGCGTGGAGGCAGTAGCCTTGCTCCAAGCTAAGGTAAGAGACAGGGCCAGCATCCTCCGGTCTGCTCTGAGCAGAAAGAGGCCAAGCAAAGGTGAAGCATCGTCAACGTGCAGAAGAAAAAATGCTACTGTTTAGTAACAAGTTCAATCTCACCAGACATGGAAGTGCAAATTGAAATAACAGCTTTTTGATCACCTATCTACGAGCAGAAAATGTCTAAAATGGTAATACTCAATGTTGGCATGTATGTGGACAGACAGGTTGTCTACTGTATTATCAAACAGCACAAACTAGTCCACCACCTTTGAATAAGGGATTTGGTAATATGTATCGAGAGTGTTAAAATGCCCCTACCTACCAATAAATCTGGACACTACCCTAAAGAAGTAATTCAAAATACAAATAGTTTATGTCCAAATATACTCACAGAGGCATTATTAGAGTGAAAAAATTGGGGGCAAAACAGACAAATGTGTAAGATAGGAAAAGATTAAGCCACCACCTAACCATGCAATGTACAGTGAATTAGTATGCAGTTATTAGAAATGACGTTTATGAAGCATTTATAATAACATGGGAAAATGGGGAGAAAAAGATAGTATGGAATGATATATACCAGAGCCAACAAACTATTTCTTTAAAGGAACAGATAGAAAATATTTCAGTCTTCATGGTCCAGATGGTCTCTGCTGCAGCCACTCAACTCTGCCACTGCAGTATGAACGCAGCCTTAGACAGTAGGTAACAAATGAACATGGCCGTGTTCCAATAAAACTTTATTTACAGGACAGGAGGTGAGCTAGAGCTGGCCTGCAGGCTGCAGGTATACGCAGAAGAGTAAGGCTTTCAGACAAAGAACCCAGGCATCAAGAACCTGGGCGTCAATAACACCATGTTATTGGTGTTGGCAGTTGTTGTCTTTGAGTGATGGCCCTACCTAACACTATGAGGTCTTTTCTCTTTCTTGTTTTTCAGTATTTCTCAAGTTTTTCTTAAGTAGTATGAATTATTTTCATAGAAGAAAAATAACTTTTACGAAACCTCATACATAATTAAGGAATTAACCAGAAAATAGAGCGTATAGGATTTGTTCTTCCCTTCTCCATCTCCCAGCCATTCATGACTTTGAAATTCTGAGGCAGAGGATGAAGGAGAAGAGGAAGGAAAATGGGAAGGAGTGGGGAAAATAAGGTAGATATTTGAGAAAAGGCAAGAAGGCTGCTTCCTAGCTTTTGGTTACCATTTAGCAGTTCTCAATCCTGGTTGCACAGCAGAATTATTTCAGAGCATTTTCAAAATTGCCCATGCCCAGGCCCCGCCCAGACCAATTACATCAGAGGGAAGGTAGGGACTTTATGACTTTTTAAAGCTCTCTGGATGATACACAGCCAGGGTTGAGAACCATGAGAGTTATGAAAGCTACCGAAAGAAAAACAGGAGGACCTTTTCTGTCCTTTCTTCTACCATGTTCCCTCAATCCCCTGCCCCCCGAGTGCCAGTAGGAAGCTTCCCAGAAGAGCCTTTACTAATTCTGGATCCCCAAATGTTCTCTAGCCCAGAAGACATCTTTCACTCCCCCATTTCTTCATCCCCTAACCCCTTTCAATGGCTTCTTTTCTTTCTATCAATTCCTTGAGCCAGGTCACTACAACCAATTTTTATTGCAGAGAGTGCCTAGTAATTCAACAAAATGAAACCCCCTACCCCCACCCAACCTGGCAAGAGGTGGAGCAACACAGGTAAAGTGAAGCCAGACCATGGATTTGATTTTGGTCCATTGACTCTTTTTTAAGAGACTCATAAATGTTTATAATTAATGACTCTGGAGACCATCTAATTTCATTCCCTCTTTTTAATTATTTATTTGTTTGTTTGTTTATTTATTTACTTTGGTAGCGATCCAGTCCAGGGACCATTCTCTCATTTAGAGGTGAGGAAACTGAGAGCCAGAGTATGCCAATGACTTCTCAAGGTCACAGGGCTGGTGGGTAGCCCCATAGTTCAACTCTCCTGGTGCTTGGTCCAGGGACCTTTTCCTCTGCAGTGGGCTGTATGGTTTCTCCCCTGGTCCTGCTCCCAAAGCTAAATCTCAGTAGACAGTAGTTTACAACCTTGCTTCTTTCCCAACTCTCCTGGGGTGTACACAACACTGTAGTGATGGGGGTTGGGTCGTTTCTCCCCTGGTCCTGCTCCCAAAGCTAAATCTCAGTAGACAGTAGTTTATAACCTTGCTTCTTTCCCAACTCTCCTGGGGTGTACACAACACTGTAGTGATGGGGGTTGGGTGCAGTCCCTTATAATCATCAGAAATAAATCCTGCATTGTTTGGAAAAGGAAAAAAACCTTGTCATTATTATTCATCTCTCACCCCTTTAAGAATCATCATTAGCCCAACAGTAACTCAAACATTAATTCTAAACAGATTCATTAGTGTTTTTTTAATAGAGTAATCTGAAAGCTACATCTCAGAGAAAACAGACAGTGCTTGTTGTAGTTGGCCAGTGCTGCCTGGGCCTCTTGCAGAGAGGCAGAGCTCAGAAAATATTTGCAGAATGAGTGAATTCCTCTGATCATCAACAGAGATCAGAACTGACAGCCAGAATTCCTCCAATAAATAGTTGTGTCAGTTGCAGTTGTGCCCGCAGGGGCTGACGTTTGCCTATCCTGAGTATCTCTTGTCAGTTTCTTGACGGCAAAGCATAAATGTGAAATGGCTCAGCACACACTGCTTTCAAAGGCTTTTGTAAAGAGAATGCAAACATGCATTTAATTACCTTTCAGCCCAGGGAGGCCGAAAATTAATTAACATGATTAATTTATGTCTTAGTTTACGTTCCCCCAGAAGCAGATCCCAACAAAAATATTAGAGTAGAGGGAGTTTATTTGGAAGTTGGGGTGGGTGGGTGGGTGGCGGAGAAGGGGACCAACAAAATGCCAGTAGAGGAGAGGCAGAGAAGGGGACTGACGAGAAATGCGTTATCAAGCCAGCCACCACTGTGAGAGACTGGAGGGAACCCAGGGCAATTTGGGGAAACGGTGTAGACGACAGGAGAGGGGAAAGGCGAGGAAGCTGGGGTGTTAATACCATCTCCCATCAGGCTTCTGCCATCTGCTAGCAGAGTGACCTTTCAATGGCTTCAGAGAAAGCTGTCAGGCAGAGAGATGCAAAATCTGGCAGTGGGAAACTGGGGAGCAGTAAAGTGTGAAGGCCTGAGGAATAAAGGCGGGTGCCATCAGCATCTGCTATGGCTTATCTGCCAACTCTTTTTTTAATCATTAAAAGTTTATAAAGAAGGTCTGGCTAGGGTCAGTGCAGGAGCCACCTTCCCTTCAGCCATGGTGTTAGGGCTGTCAGGGACCTCGGTGGCCAGTTTTTGGAGCTTCTGAAGTTGCATGATCCAGTGATTGAGGGATCAGATTGGTCCAGAGGATTTCTGGAGTGTCTTAAAGTCTGGCTCTTCCTTGTTTATTTGTTGCAGTTACCCAACTCGGGGTATTTAGGGATGTTTCAGGACCTCAGACAACATGCCATACTACTCTCCAGATCTCCATATAATAGGAAAAAAGCCTTTATTTTCTATACTCTCGTACAACGCTTCTGACATCAAATGTATAATCTCTTTCACACCAAACAATTCTCCAAACATGGAATGGGTGTCCTACAACTCAATCCAATTCCAATACTGTCTACCTGGAGACAGCATCAGATCCCACAGGTGAAGGGCTCAGTCCCACAAGACTGCCCCCACTTCAGATGCCAATCGCCTGTCTGGACTTCTGGACTTCTGACTAACTGGCTATAAATTGGGAGTTCACACAACTCCCTCCTCAGAATGAATAATTTGCTGGAACAACGCAGAACTCAGGGAACTCACTTTATTTATTTTTACCTGCTTATTGTATTAAGGATACAACTCAGGAACAGCTAAATGGAAGAGATGTATAAGGCAAAGTACATGGGAAGGGGTAGAGAGCCCCCTGACCCCTCTGGGAGCACTCCCTTCCAGCACCTCCATCCCTTCACTAACCCAGAAGCTCTCCATATTCTGTCCTTCTATGTTTTTATGGAGGCTTCATTATGTCAGCTTGATTGATCAAATCAATGGCCACTGGTGATTAAAGTCCATCTTCAGTCCCTCTGCTCTCCCTGGAGGTTGGGGGTTGGGGCTGAAAGTTCCAACCCTCTAATCACATGGTTGGTTCCCCTGGCAACCAGCCTCTCCATCCTTAGGGGCTTTCCAAAAAAGTTATCTCATTAATATAAAGTCAGTTGAAAAGGGCTTTTTATGAATAACAAAAAGAGCTCCTTTCACCTT